GACTGACTCGCCTGCTTTTCCACTAACACAGAAAAATGAAGATCAGGTCAGACTGACATTTTAAATTGACACAAACTGAAACCCAAACCCTTTAAANGAGTGATAGAAGTGAGACTTACTANNCTTTCTCTNGTCTATCTTTTTTGGGGTGTATATATATATATTTTTATNTACTGATGACTGTTTTGCAGCTTTTAAGCATTGAATTGAATGATTTATTATAATCTTTAGTTTGTTTTGTAGCAGAAATATTGTTTATTAAATTGACATGCATATTAAAAATAGCAGTACAAAATAAATATTTCTTATATATTTCTTAAATGAAGCCTTAATAAGGCTTCATTTTTGTTTGATGCAAACTATACAATTATTTTTCATAAAGTAACAGACTTTTTATAGCAGATAACTTACATTGAAGCACATTCAAGGCAGCATGATAATGAGAAATGTAATTCATTGTTATTGTAATAGGTATTATTGTCATTTTCATCATCATTAATATTCTATAATTATTAGACGTTCATTTTGGAATTATTGCACACAAATATCAATGTCATCTCAGCATTAGTTAGATAGTTGTTTCTAGTTTTTATTAGTCCTAATTGATGTTGTTTTAAAATACAATAAATCCATTAAAATTCAATTTGCAGCGGTGCTCATTCATTTTCGGTGGGTGCTCCTAAATTTTTTCTGGTGCTCCTAATTTTTTTTCTGGTGCTCCTAAATTTTTCCTGGTGCTCCTAAATTTTTCCTGGTGCTCCTAATTTTTTCTGGTGCTCCTAATTTTTTTCTGGTGCTCCTAATTTTTTTCTGGTGCTCCTAAATTTTTCCTGGTGTTCCTAAATTTTTCCTGGTGCTCCTAATTTTTTCTGGTGCTCCTAATTTTTTTCTGGTGCTCCTAAATTTTTCCTGGTGTTCCTAAATTTTTTCTGGTGTTCCTAAATTTTTTCTGGTGCTCCTAAATTTTTTCTGGTGCTCCTAAATTTTTTTCTGGTGTTCCTAAATTTTTTCAGGTGTTCCTAAATTTTTTCTGGTGCTCCTAAATTTTTCCTGGTGCTCCTAAATTTTTGTGGTGCTCCTAATTTTTTTTCTGGTGCTTCTAATTTTTTTCTGGTGCTCCTAAATTTTTTCTGGTGCTCCTAATTTTTTCTGGTGCTCCTAATTTTTTTTCTGGTGCTCCTAAATTTTTCCTGGTGCTCCTAATTTTTTTCTGGTGCTCCTAAATTTTTTCTGGTGCTCCTAATTTTTTTTCTGGTGCTCCTAATTTTTTTTCTGGTGCTCCTAAATTTTTTCTGGTGCTCCTAAATATTTAAAGTTGGGAGCACCAGTGCTACCAAGTAAAAAAGTTCATTTCGAGCCCCGTCTAAGCATTTGTATAATCAGCACTTGTGTGTATTGCCTCTTCATGTTGAATCACTGAATGCCTCCTTAAATGTAAGTCGCTTTGGACAAAAACATCTGATTAATTAATAAATATAAATGTACAACCCTAAATCAGAACAAGTTGGGACAGTATGGAAAACACAAATAAAAGAAAGAAAGTAGTGATTTCCAAATTTACTTTGACTTGAGTTTCATTGCAGGCAATATGAACACAAATATTTCATGTTTTGTCTGGTCAACTTCAGGGCTCCGTTCTTCGTACGTGGATTACTCTGTTAGCTGGATTTAGTTATTGACTATTTAACACGATCCAGGATCGTTTCATTCTTCAAAACTGATCCGAGAGTTGTTGTCATAGCAACAGTTCTGGTAGCTGGTAGCCCTATGTTAACAGTGTCCAGAAGTGTTGTCGGCTACTGTCATTCATTCATTCATTTTCTTGTCAGCTTAGTCCCTTTATTTATCCGGGTTCGCCACAGAGGAATGAACCGCCAACTTATCCAGCATGTTATTACGCAGCGGATGCCCTTCCAGCTGCAACCCATCGCTGGGAAATGTCGGCTACTGTGCTCAAATTAATTAGTATTTCGGGGAGAAATGGATGATGTGTGCTCTGGACCACAGAAGAAAAGGATCATCTAGACTGTTACCAGCAACAAGTCCTAAAGCCAGGGTCTGTGAGGGTATAGGGTTGTGTTAGTGCCCTTGGCAAACGTAACTTGCACTTCTGTGATACTCCATTAATGCCGAAAAGTACAGAGAGATTTTGTAGCACATTAAGCTGCCTTCTGTTCCAGGGATTCACCATGCATATTTCATTAACACAATGCAAAGGCACCTTCTGCACACATCACAGAGTAATGTTTTGATGGGGAGGGCAGTGAGATGACCTGAGATCAGCAGACATGTTGTGTTTATGGTCTGAGGATTGCGAAATGTTTCTTTCACACTCACATGAGCACGATGAAAGATATTGATTGTGTGTGACGGTGTCATTCCCAAAGCGGGATCGAGTTTTTCTCGCTTCTCTGACAATCCCAGATTACTTTTGGCACATCATTACATGCTTGAGCTGAAATCTTCTTTTAGTTCCTCAGTCCAGACTGAAACGTAGAGGATGCAGAGCTTTTTCTGTGGTTTATGGAACAATCTGCCCCATCAGATTGCAATGGCACCATCACTATCTATTTTTATTGTTATTATTATTATTCATTCATTCATTTTCTTTTTGGCTTAGTCCCTTTATTAATCCGGGGTCGCCACAGCGGAATGAACCGCCAACTTATCCAGCACATGTTTTACGCAGTGAATGCCCTTCCAGCTGCAACCCATCTCAAGGAAAGTTATTATTATTGTTATTATTATTATTATTATTATCGAACATTTTAGATTTTGAACTATATACAACCACGCCCCAGATGCATAAACAGGAAAATAACATATAATAAAAAACCTTAATAGTGTAATAATAGGTACAAACAAGACAATGATCCAAAACACAGCCAAGAGACTCTCAGATGCTTTCAGAGAAAGAAAATCAAGCTGCAGAATGGCCCAGCCCATCACCTGATCCGAATCCAATAGAGAATACAGAATAAAGCTCAGATTTGATAGACGAGACCCACAGAATCATCAAGATTTTGACACTGTTAAAGTCTGTGAGAAACTCACACCTGAGCAACGCATGTGACTGTATTCTCCATATGAGAGGCGTCTTTAATCTGACATCACCAATAAACACTTTAATATAAAGTATTAAATACGCTTCAGTAGTTCAGAAGTTCCTCCTTCTGTCATTTCATTGTGATTACACAAAGCTCATCTTGCATTTGTTTTGTTTTATTTTTATGTTTGTTTTGTTTGGGTTTTTACCTAAATCTGCCTCAATTCCATGTCAGCAGCTCCTTCAGAAATATTATTACATGATGTGTTCAATATCTACTTTCCCCGCTGTATATTACAGTCTCCCTCATTCATTCGTTTTCTTCTCGGCTTAGTCCCTTTATTAATCCGGGGTCGCCACAGCGGAATGAACCGCCAACTTATCCAGCAAGTCTTTTACGCAGCGGATGCCCTTCCAGCCGCAACCCATCTCTGGGAAACATCCACACACACACATTCACACACACACTCATACACTACGGACAATTTAACCTACCCAATTCACCTGTACCGCATGTGTTTGGAATGTGGGGGAAGCTGGAGCACCCGGAGGAAATCCACGCGAAGGCAGGGAGAACATGCAAACTCCACACAGAATCGCCAACTGAGCCGAGGCTCGAACCAGCGACCCAGCGACCTTCTTGCTGTGAGGCGACAGCACTACCTACTGCGCCACTGCCTCGCCCTACAGTCTCCCTCATATCTGACCAAAATTGTACTGTTTTCCTGCTGGCGCCATTTACTTTAGCTGTGGTATATTCCAAACTCATTAGGTCGAGTTTCCAAGACAGATCAACTGGAGGAGAAGCATCCAGCCATAGTTGCAGGACTGTTTTCTTTGCAGCAGTCACAACAACGAATAGAGTTCATCACTATCTATTTTTAAATCACTTTTAAATGCTTACCTATTCAGTTTGGCCGATCAATATTATTCTAATAGTTTTGTCTGTTTGCTTTGTTTTTAAATATATACACTACCTGACAAAAGTCTTGTGGTGGATCCCAGTTGTAAGAGCAACACATAGTAACTTGACTTCTAGTTGATCATTTGGAAAAGTGTCAGGAGGTGGATTTCTCTGATGAATCATCTGTTGATCTGCATCCCAATCATCACAAATACTACCAGGAGAAATCATGGTTTAGGTTTACATTCAGTATGGGGAGGTATGGGCGTGTTGGGGAGATCTGCAGAGTGGATGATCAACATCAACAGCCTGAGGCATCGAGACATTTGTGCTGCCCATTACATTACAAACCACAGGAGAGGGACAATTCTCCAGCAGGATAGCGCTCCTTCTCATACTTCAGCCTCCACATCAAAGCTCCTGAAAGCGAAGAAGGTCAAGGTGCTCACGGATTGGCCAGCCCAGTCACCAGACATGAACATTGTTGAGCATATCTGATGTAAGATGAAGGAGGAGGCATTGAAGATGAACACAAAGAGTCTTGATGAACTCTGGGAGTCCTGCAGGAACGCTTTCTTCTTCATTCCAGATGACTTTATTAATCAGTGATTTGAGTCATGTCAGAGATGTATGGATGCAGTCCTCCAAGCTCATGATGGAGTCAGACACAATATTCATTCTGTCTCCACTGCAGCAGGACTTTATATTCTATACTGGACATTATTTCTGTTCAGTGATGAGACTTTAGTCTAAGTAGAGTCAGACCTTACTGTCCTAATTAAGACGTCGACTGGAACTTTCTGTTATACACCACGCCTAATAGAAGGGTACCATTGGCAATGGAGACACAAGTCTGATAAAGATGACCCGTACCGAACTGTACCATACCACTCAATGGAAAACCAGGCATCAATGTGCATTATAAATAAATGAACTCTAAACTTGAGCTGAAAATGGAAACTCTGGTTGACTTACAGCTGTTTGTGTCATTGGCCACAGCCACGATCCCCATGGGCTGCTGGGGAATATCAGCCCTCAGCACCTTCATTTCTCCTCCCACATATTTATCTGCTCGCAAGACGGCTCTGCGCACCCAGTCTGTCCAGAAGATGTGGTCTCCGTACACGGCCAAACCGAAAGGATGCACCGGCTCATTCTTCAGGACCACCTACAGACGGCAAAACACACACAAAACAGGCTCAGTTTGAAGAAACGCTAATGCTAAACACTAATGTGACTTATTTGTTTTTTTTCGGCTAGAATAAAAGCAGTTTTTAATTATTTTAAAGCCATTTTAAGCTAATATTATTATCCCCCTTAAGCAATATTTATTTTGGATTGTCTCCAGAACAAACCACTGTTATACAATGACTAACCTAATTACCTTAACTTTACCCTAATTATTATAGTTAAGCCTTTAAATGTCACTTTAAGCTGAATACTAGTGTCATAACATGTACAAATGTAACAGGAGGGCTAATAATTTTAGAGTAAACACAGTTGAATATTCACTCTTGTAAGCTGTAACTCACGTATCGGTGTGTGCCGTCGTACTCGCAGCGCTCGATCTTATCCAGCGTAGCATCAGAGAAATACAGTTTCTCTGCGCGGTGGTCGATGGCGAGGCCGTTGGGAGTGCGGATTTCACTGCCGATGATCACGATCACATTGGAGCCAGACAGCTGAGCGCGCATGATACTGGGAGACTGTTCGTTCCAGTTAGTCCAGAACATCAGGCTGAAACAGAAGAGGAATGGCAAACTCTGAGTGCACCTGCGATTACCATCCTGAATAGGCAAGGGATGATAACCGGTATCAAGGTTCATCATGGTTTGGAAAAGTCAAGGTTTTAAAACAGCTCACACACTTTCATGAACAGCAGATTCAATGACTCTTTAAAGCAGAGGTGGGCAAACTACGGCCCGCGGGCCATACGCGGCCTGCTGAACACTTTCATCCGGCCCGCGAGGGAGTTTTTAAAATGCTGCTCCTGAGTAAAGCCGCCTTTCCACTGCACACGACAAAAGACAAGCGACAGACTGGAAGTCATTCATTTCCAATGGAGAGCAGTCCGGGAGCTGCGTTGAGTTTCGATCATCTCCGTATGCGGAAAATTCGAATCCGAATTGAGCTGCGGATCCGTTGAAATATTTGAACTCCTGCGACTAGACCGCATGCGACCTGCCGACCGGATATGATGTATTCCAGTGTTGTCCAAGCAGGTCTGTGCGCGCGAGATGAGAAATAGGAGTTTATTTGGTTATTTTTTGAATTATAAAAAGTCTATATTAAAAAAACATTTCTGTTCATAAATGTAAGTAAGAAAGTAATAAAAATATATATTTTTTATGTTGTCTCCACATTCCCCCCAATATTTTAGCGGTCAATGAGTTTCTAGTAGGGATGTAATGGTATCAGAATTTCACGGTACGGTAATACCTCGGTATGAATGTCACGGTACGGTATTTATTGAATCATTTACAGGAAAAACAAAACTTATGAAAATAGTCCAAAAAAGTGCCAAAAGTGTCAATGACATACAAATCAGCCATCTATCTGTAAGCTTTAAAACAGGAACTTCAATTTTAATAACAAAAAATTATTAACCAATGTAAAAAATAAAGTTTCAATTTAGTATTGTTGAAAACTCATCACATTCAACATTTAATCACTCACTCACTTAGATAGAGATGGGTTATAAGGAAAATTATCATATAACTATAATCTGGTAAAAGCTGGTATCTCTGGGCATTTACAATGTCCCCTGCAACAGAAAAAAACCCTCTCATTTGGGACTGAGGTTTCTGGGACAGAGAGATATGACTTGGCCCAGGTTGACAGATGTGGGTAACGTTGTGCATTGTCTTTTCCCCACTTGAGAGGACAAACCATGAGTGAGATAGAGGTCTCATGTCTGCATCAATCTGAACAGTGTGCTGTGTCACACCCTCCGTCCCGCCCTTCAGTAGGTGCGCGACAACACCGCTCTTGAGTATGCGCTCAACCCCCCCTCCCCGCTTAACAGTACGCGCGCGACAACACAGCTGATCAGAACGCGCGCAACAACACTGCTATTCAGTACGCCCGCGACAACACAGCTGATCAGAACGCGCGCGACAACACAGCTGAATAGAACCCGTGCGACAACACAGCTGATCAGAACGCGCGCGACAACACAGCTGATCAGAACCCGCGCGACAACACAGCTGATCAGAACGCGCGCGACAACACAGCTGATCAGAACCCGCGCGACAACACAGCTGATCAGAACGCGCGCAACAACACAGCTGATCAGAACGCGCGCGACAACACAGCTGATCAGTACGCGCGCGACAACACAGCTGATCAGAACGCGCGCGACAACACAGCTGATCAGAACCCGCGCGACAACACAGCTGATCAGAACGCGCGCGACAACACTGCTATTCAGTACGCGCGCGACAACACAGCTGATCAGAACGCGCGCAACAACACTGCTATTCAGTACGCGCGCGACAACACAGCTGATCAGAACGCGCGCGACAACACAGCTGATCAGAACGCGCGCGACAACACAGCTGATCAGAACGCGCGCGACAACACAGCTGATCAGAACGCGCGCGACAACACAGCTGATCAGAACGCGCGCGACAACACAGCTGATCAGAACGCGCGCGACAACACAGCTGATCAGAACGCGCGCGACAACACCGCTATTCAGTACGCGTGCGGCGACAACACCCGCTTCAGGTTCGATCATTTCCAGCTCTTTTTCATCCCCGCTTCTAGCAGCACACTCCATTTCCGCATTACTGGATCTGTAGCGACAACAGACCGCAAGGGATGATGGTCAAGCCTGGGCTGATGGGAATTGTAGTTTCTGCTACCTCCCGTTCGCTTCATTCGCCTGAGCAAATTTTCTCAGAAGACCTATAGTTTTACCGAGTCATGCGACTACGGTAATATCGAAAAAAATTTATATTGCGGTATGACGGTATTTACAATACCGTTACATCCCTAGTTTCTAGTATTCATTCATCTATTAAACTATGAAAACGCTCAGAGAATAAAAGCTATTTCTTTTGCAGTTCTTTACTTCGGACACCGTGAGAATCAGCTTCTCCCCCGTGGTGCACGACAACACTGAAAATACTGTGCGGCTGCCACAAGGGGGCGTATTCCGACAGTCGTGTCTAATTGTCGTGTGCAGTGGAAAGGCGGCTTAACGGTTTGGTTCAGAATTAGTAAATTAGTGATGCAATTACAAGTGAACGCCATGTGATGGCAGTATTGCACACGGTACAGTTAGAGCAACCAGTAGAATTAGAGCACACTCTCGGGCTGCGTCCGAAACCGCCTACTACTCAGTAGGTACTGCATTTGAATTTAAACGTACCACTCGGCCGTTAGAAAAGTACGTTCTATACAGTATGAATGTGAAAAGTATGAATGGAATTCGGACGTACTACATCCGCCATTTTGTCATGGTCACGTGACCTACGTGCGTCAGTTGCGTCGCTTTACTTCCATTCATGAATTTGCTCGCGGGGCATCATGGGATAGCGCAGCATGCATGGGATGCGCACTCCGGAATCTCGCCGGAAGTAGTAAGTCATCCGGGTACTTTTCGCATACTGATTTTCGAATTCTATGAATTCGGACACACTGCTCGGCTCGCATACTGATTTTAGCGTACTATATAGTATGGAAGTTTCGGACGCAGCCTCGGATATTAAAATGCACTCAACCGTTAATGACTGAAAATGTATCAGGCTGATCACACCCAACACGCTTTATAAGAGGCGCCTCTCTTAACTGGTTTACTAACGGCGGCGGTTTTGCGCGCTATGCGCCCTGCGCGCCTCGCGTTTTAACCGCCTGCTGCCGCTCGCGTTTTTGCCGTAGCAGACTCCAGACTTTGACACCCTTACGAAGAGAGGGGACCAGGCTCATTGTTCACATTAACACACTCATAATAACATGACTTGGAATAACAAAGACTAAGATTATTATTCTCCCGTTTTATCTCATAATTTTATAATGATTGATTTGAGCATACTAGCTCAAATGAGACTGTCGTGAATTTGACTCAAATCATATAATATTTGCTGGTTAAATGTGTGAATTTTTGTCATAGAACATATTTTCCATGCATACATCCACTTTAAAAAGTTATTTTATCAAAGATTTGTGGCTTCATCACGTTGTATGATGATTGATCTGTATATTTTAAAATCAGTGCAAATTAGATCATTGTAAATCTGACTGAATAGTAATTTTTAAGAATTATTATTAATGTGTTAATATGAGATTTTTCTATCAGGCAATATTTTTTCTATTCTCCACTGTACAAAATTATTACATTATTATTATTATATTATATAAAGGATTATTTTATTGTTTTATGATGATTCATAAGTAAGCATAAATAATTAATTTTACTTAAATTTGACTTTATAATATAATAAAAAATCAGTTTTGTGTTATATGTGACATGTTTCTGTCTGATATTACATGTTTCATGCATACTGCCACTATAAATAAAAGTTATTTTGTTGAAGGATTTGACATGTGGCGCTTCACTTGGTTTGCAAAACTTGATGTGGCCCTCGGGTCTAAATAGTTTGCCCACAACTGCTTTAAAGCATCATTCATTTTTAATCCAGCCCCACTGTAATTCATGCCCAAGCATATGTAATGGCATGAAAGTCACAGGCTCATTGTGGATATGTACCCCTGTCTATATTTCTGGAGAGCATGAATTATGTAGCCAGAGGTACGTCTGGCTGCATTTCGTCTGTAAAACGAATTCTATGGGGCGGTATGGCAACGCCGGCGGCTTCTGTTCAACTTAATTACCAGCTGAACGCTTACTTCTGTATGGACGTGTTTGCTCAGTAGCTCACACATTACCCTTACTCCCAATGCTTAACTAATGATGACTTAATTATTGGCAAATGCTTAATAAATTATTCATAGTGTGTATGTAGTATAAAGTGTTACCATAAAGGCTTCAGTAACTCAACTTCATCCAGTTTTGTGACCTAATCTAAAGTGAAGTGATTTTTTTGTGCTCTGCAAATCCCTCATACCACTTTTGTCTGTAGTAAAATGAAGAAAATCTGTGCAAGATCTCACTTCTGACACTCATCCAGGACGAAGGCTCGTGGATGGTCGTCTCCTGACATGGTGACCACAGTGTCCCGGTCGAAGGCGCCCCAGCGGCTCTGGTCCACCGTGTGTCTGCTGATGGTGGAGGTGGTGTAACTGGTCCAATATAAAGTGTCCCAGGCCCTGTGGTACGCCAGACCCTCCACTGAGCCCACATCTGCACACACACACACACAGTTTTGTCTTTTAATACAAGCAGTCAGATGTATGAACGGGACATTTAATTGTATATACATAGAAAGTAAGCTTCATATAAGCTTAAAAAAATGAGTGAAACTGTTGTAATCTCACTAAGAAAATTGTGGCCAATCAAAAGCAGCCTGGGTGATCCCGTGTGCAACATAACAGTCAGTGTTTTGTTATGATTGGTCTGTTTTTCAGCGGTATTTTACAGGAAACAATAGTATTTGAGGCTCAGGGTATGTCATTTTTCATATACTGAACTATTAATATTCATCTATGCAGTGAAAATGGCACATTTGATGATACAGAACAGCTCCTATGGTCAACAAAAAATGTTAACGTTGTCCTTTCTGTTGACTAGAATGAATCAATGGACTGATATTAAAGTGATAGTTCACCCAAAAATAAAATTCACTCACTATTTACGGTTCCATAAGGGGCTAAAAAACTTTATATGAGTTTCTTTCTTCTACTGAACACTAGAGAAGATCATTTGAAGAATGATGGATACCTGTAACCATTGACTTTCATTATAGCAAAAGCTAATACTATGGAAGTCAATGGTTACAGCATAGGTGTCAAACTCAATTCCTGGAGGGCAGCAACTCTGGGCAGTTTTGCTCCAACCCTGATCAAACACAGCTCATCCAAATAATAGAGGTGTCCGAGACTCTTTTGAACACCTCGATTATTCACCGGGATTTTACAGGAAACAATAGTATTTGAGGCTCAGTGTATGTCATTTCCATGTACTGAACTCGTATTATTCATCTATGCAGTACAAATGGCACATAAGATGATATAGAATGGCTCCTATGGTCAACAAAAAATGTTAACGTTGTCCTTTCTGTTGACTAGAATGAATCAATAGACTGATATTAAAGTGATAGTTCACCCAAAAATAAAATTCACTCACTATTTACGGTTCCATAAGGGGCTAAAAAAACTTTATATGAGTTTCTTTCTTCTATTGAACATTAAAGAAGATCATTTGAAGAATGATGGATACCTGTAACCATTGACTTACATTATAGGAAAAGCTAATACTATGGAAGTAAATAGTTACAGCATAGGTCTCAAACTCAATTCCTGGAGGGCCACAGCTCTGGGCAGTTTTGCTCCAACCCTGATCAAACACAGCTCATCCAAATAATAGAGTTCATAGGAGTATAAGAATAAGAGTTCATGACTCTTTTAAACACCTCGATTATTCACCGGGATTTTACAGCAAACAATAGTATTTGAGGCTCAGAGTACGCCATTTCCATGTACTGAACTCATATTATTCATCTTTGCAGTGAAAATGGCACATAAGATGATATTGAACAGCTCCTATGGTCAACAAAAAATGTTAACGTTGTCCTTTTTGTTGACTAGAATAAATGAATGGACTGATATCAAAGTCACCCAAAAATAAAATTACTCACTATTTACGGCTCCATAAGGGGTTAAAAAACTTTATATGAGTTTCTTCTTTCTTCTTTCTTTTAGTGAACACTAAAGAAGATAATTTGAAGAATGATGGATACCAGTAACCATTGACTTACATAACAGAAAAAACTAATACTATGGTTACAGGTTTCCAACATTCTTCAAAATATCTTCTTTTGTGTTCAACTGAAAAAAAGAAAGTCATATGGAACTACTTGAGGGTGTGTAAATAGTGAGCACATATTCATTTTTGTGTGAACTAACCCTTTTTATAAGTGTGAATCGACATGTGCAGAAAAGCTTTGTGTGGTACACAAAACTCGCTCACCGTGTTTACAAGCAACATCTAAATATGTTTGTTCGTCAAGAGTTACTTTTATCTGGACAAACCCACCATGAAAAACAAGAGGGGGAAAGAGATATGACAGCAAGTGATTCACTGTTTGTTTGTTATTTGATTTCCACAGCCGGTTCAGAGACGCAGGAACTCAAATGTGTTTTCTGTTGCTAGATTTACTCCTGGCTTTAATTACATAACCGGTTCAGAGCCAGTGTAATAAAAACCACATGCTGAGGATAAACAGTCCGAGCTTTAAAAGACAAAATGAAGGAATGGTGGAAAAGGCTAAAAGCCCAAAGATGAAGAAAAATGCAAAAAAAAAAGAAGGATGAAATGAAAACATGCCTTTTCTAGATTCTCTAAACTCGCTCAGATATTACAGTGGTTTTTAACAGATATTTTTGTGCTTTCGTGTTCTGCATGATTAAAGATAATAAAGAAAAAACATCTTGATGATATTTCCCTAAAAAACTGTCTTATAAAATGTATTTTGATGTAAACATACAAAGACTTTTATTGATAATAAACGTTTAATAATTACAGTAGTACTAGTACTACATTTATGGTTTCTGCAACCTAAAAAAGCCACTTATTGTGCAAATACATACATTTACTTCTTATTTCTAGAGTTAAAATAGTCAACAATGTACATAAATCATACAGATGTATATATACGTTATTTTGTCTTCTTTATATTTAATCTACATCACTACTCATTTATTTAAAGGGACAGATCAGCCAAACATTTAAATTCTGTCATCTTTTACTTTATTCAAACCTTTATGAGTTTCTTTCTTCTGTCAAACACAAATGAAGATATTTTGAAAAATGTTGAAAACCGGTAACCATTGCCTTCCAGAGTATTTAGATTTCCTAGTATGGAAGTCAATGGTTACCGGTTTTCAGCTTTCTTTAAAATTTTCTCTCAATTGAAGAAAGAAGCTCATAAAGGTTTGGAACCACTTGAGGGAGAGTAAACAGTGAGTAAATGTTAATTTTTGGGTGAACTGTCCCTTTAAATGTCTTTTCTGTTTTGTTGATATGTATTCTGATCCAAAATGATCTAAACTAATGATGTAAATTCAGTAAATCAGCCTTTTCTTATACTTTACGGTCTTTCTGGAGTAAATAAATACCATGTTTCTACATTTGGGGTTTCACGCTATAGACTTTTTAACACCTTTAACAATGTATAATTTCCTTACGATTTATTTTGGAAATGTACTTGCCATTTAAGAGTGAAAACTCTGTTTATTTTACCCATTTTTTGGAGCAAATATATAGATAAATATTTAGTATACAATTGCTACAAAATTTTCGGAAATTTTTTAGTTCATATGATTGTTTTACACAGCATATGCCCTTCCAGCTGCAACCCATGCACTGGGAAATACCCATACACACTCATTCACACACATGGCCAATTTAGTTTATTCAATTCCCCCATAGCGCATGTGTTTGGACTGTGGGGGAAACCGGAGCACCCGGAGGAAACCCAAGGCGACACGGGGAGAACATGCAAACTCCACACAGAAATGCCTTCTTGCTGTGAGGACACAATGCCAACCACTGAGCAACCATGCAGCCCTGCTACTAAATAGTAAAATCAAATATAAAATCTTCGTACAGGGCGAGACGTTCTAAATGAAATCAATAAAACCCAAACACTATTGTTCAGAAGGCACATGGAGTAGATGAAACTGAAGTGAGTCTGGTTTTGATTGTCGTTTCAGGCTTTTCCACTCAGAAAGCCAACATTCTTCTCAGAAGGCATTCTGGTGGAGAGCGTGCAATTATGGTCATTATTCTCCATTCATATGGTGTTTGTGGCAACAGGAGAATACTCTGTGGAAGAATACTTCATTGTGCTGTTAGAGGAGAGTCGGTTGGCTGTTTAGATCGTACTGCACTCATTTGGGCAACTCCTAAATTTCTACAGCTCCCCTATATATATTATAGGTAGGCATAGATTATTTTTTAAATCTAGATTAATCTCACTGTAGTCTTGTAATTAATCTAGATTAAAATGGCTCATCTGAATTCTGTCTAAGGCATTCAGAATGTGTGTGCTATACAAATAATGACTAAAAGTAAGTCTCTGAGAACGGGTTTCTCAAGCCAGGTGGCGCATTAGACCAGGGGCGCATCTCCTGTTTCCAAAATGCATCACAAACTGCTTGAGAAACTGTTCTAGTGTGATAATTGGTGATGAAAATAAATGATGTTCAATAAGATGTGCTTGTGTTTACGAACTGTTCATTTAGTTAAATCGCGCAATAATAATCTCGCAGCACATTAACGCCAATAACGGCCCACCACTAATATTTATATACAGATATCCCTAATTCAGAATAAAACAATCAATCTACAGCTGTAAAAGCACCCTTAGAGGATTATAAGGCCAATCACAATTCTATTTTTGAACAACGACAGGAATCTCCATACACTGACAGAAGTATTTTCACATTTTCACTTTTTTTTAGAGACAACATTAGTCCTGTTTTGAATCTGCCATTATGCTGATGCTTTACTAAAATTTTGAGAATTTTTTGGGAGGTATGAACTGGCCCTTTAACCATTAAAAGTTGGTGATTAGAGTGGAAAACAGTGACTATCTGTCAAATGCCTTTGTGTCAGCATAGTGGCAGATTCAAGAACTATGCTAACGAGGGAGAGATGGTCACTAGTGGGCGGGGCTTTCCCCCTCTGATGACACATAGAAAGGGATAATGTCAATCAAAGTGTTTCTGCTCTGTTTTTATCAAGGTTGATTTAAAAAATATATAATTAATACAATTTTACCACTGGAAGCTGATTATAATTATAAGCTCTTCCCACACTACTGTGTTTAACCCTCTTAAAAAAGTAATTTTTGCATAATAGCTCTCCTTTAAAGCATCAAATCTTAAAGAACACAACTTACTCTCCACTACAGTCTTGCGGTCGGAGCCGTCGTCATTGATCTGCTGGATGTTTCCGAAGTGAATATCGCTGTAAAAAATGCGGTTTGCTCCTTTTCCGCCTCCTCCCCGGTAGTCGAAAGTGAGCGCGATCACGTTTTTCATATGTTCAGGGTCCTCGAAGGGTTTGATAGGAGCGTTGAGGTTGTTTTCATCTGATAAGTGCACACTCTTTAGGATGGTGCGCTCCGAGTACAGCAGGTATCCGTCGTAATCTCTGCAGCTCTGGCCGTCCTCCGCCAGCATCCCGTGAGCACACGCACACGTCCGCTGACCGTTCCCTCGGTACAGACACAACTGCTGACAGCCTCCGTTATTAATCTTGCAGATATTAGTGCCTGCGCAGAAAAGAGGATGACATGAACATCACTGTAAAACATGCTGGGTCAAAAAAACTCTATTTGTGTTGGGGCAACATGAAGGAATTAAGTTAACTTGTTCGTTTATAACAAATTTAGGTGGATTGAACATAAAACAATTAAGTCGTCCACCCCAAAAAAATCTAAAATCGTGTTGTTTCAGGTCCTTTTACATATTCTTGATTTATTAGATTATTATAAGTCATTATTATTAGTAGAATTATTACCTCCTGTGATTTCTTTTAGCAATGTTTGTTTTTGAATGGTCTTGCTGAATTAGCCTAACTTGCCTAATTAACAACCTAGGCTCATTCTGAAAACATACATTCTGTATACCCCTATATACATTTCTGGAGAGCGCCAAATATGTCCCAGAAGGTGCGTTTTTGCCGTTTTCTTTTCGCAAATCCTCCAGAGACTGCTGTGTATGCATTTTCAGATCTCAAATTTCTCTCACGAGTACCATTCACGCCTGCTGTTCTCACGTAAATCCAATAGAGGCTGCTGTCAACGGACTGACTGACCAACCGATCCCCCTGCCCACCGCCTTCCCTAAACCCAATCAATTGTGTTTTCAAAAGCACAGATTGACCCGCCCAACACCTTCCCTAAACCCAACCAATAGTGTTTTCAAAAGCACAGATTCACCACCCACCACCTTCCCTAAACCCAACTAACAGTGTTTTCAAAAACACCAATTGACTCGCCCACCCCCTTCCCTAAACCCAACCAATTGTGTTTTCAAAAACACCAATTGACTCACCCACCCCCTTCCCTTAACCCAACCAATAGGGTTTTTAAAAGCACCGATTGACCCGCCCACTTCCTTCCCTAAACCCAACCAATAGTGTTTTCAAAAGCACCGATTCACCACCCACCGCCTTCCCTAAACCCAACTAACAGTGTTTTCAAAAACACCAATTGACCCGCCCACCCCCTTCCCTTAACCCAACCAATAGGGTTTTTAAAAGCACCGATTGACCCGCCCACTTCCTTCCCTAAACCCAACCAATTGTGTTTTCAAAAGCACAGATTCACCACCCACTGCCTTCCTTAAACCCAACCGACAGTGTTTTCAAAAGCACAGATTGACCTGCCCACCACCTTCCTTAAATCCAACTGATAGTGTTTTTTAAAGCACCGATTGATCCGCCCACCGCCTTCCCTAAACCCAACCAATAGTGTTTTCTAAAGCACTGATTGACCCGCCCACCGCCTTCCCTAAACCCAACCAATAGTGTTTTCTAAAGCACCGATTGACCCGCCCACCGCCTTCCCTAAACCCAACCAATGGTGTTTTCAAAAGCACTGATTGACCCGCCCACTTCCTTCCCTAAACCCAACCAATAGTGTTTTCTAAAGCACCGATTGACCCGCCCACCGACTTCCCTAAACCCAACCAATGGTGTTTTCAAAAGCACCGATTGACCCGCCCACCACCTTCCCTAAACCCAATGGACAGTGTTTTCAAAAGCACCAATTGACCCGCCCACCGGCTTTCTGGAACCAATCTTTGCCAGACTCAAATCCCGTCGACGTTGTCAATTCCTCTTTGCTACTCAAGTCCGCCATTGTATGTGGCGAGATTACTAGACAAACTGGTAACAGCAGGACAGCCGTCCATACGGAGGTAAGCGGTCAGCGGTCAGCTGGTAAGCGTGAAAAGGAACGCCGTCATACCGCCTTGTGTCGTACGTTTAAAAGATGAAATGCAGCCACACGTACTTTTGGCTACATAATTTGCATTCTCCAGAAGTGTATATAGGGCTACGTTTTCAGAATGAGCCCATGTTGATAATGTGTGTTAACCAATCAAAATACAGAATGCACCAATGCAGAGGAGAATAAAATGAATGACGTCCATATTTTAAACAGTACTGATGCAGACCAGAGTTGTGTTCCAGCACAGTGCTGTAAGATACACTCATCAGACAAACACTCACCTTGCTGTCTTGCTCTGTTGAACACCTTGATGTCTTTGAGCTGGACGCCGATGCCTGTCCTCAGACTGACTGATTCTGTGGAGTTGTCTTTACTGCCACGCTTGATTGAGCCATTGGCATGAGTCCTAAAGACAGAGGAAACGCCATGATGTCAACTGTACACATCTACAGTTACATACAAGACGTTTAATATTAAAGTCTGCATGAACCGGAAGCTGCGACAGTTTTTTTTTTTTCGTATTGTGAAGCAGTTCCTAGAGAAATGGAATTTTAAATGAGACAACAGTGGGCGTGGCTTGTTTTTCTCTAATGCGAGCTGATTGGATGTCGTAAAGTGGGCGTGTCATTCGGAAATATGAAGAAAAGGGTTTGAGGAGAGTTATTACAACCTAACAGACAACCGACTCCTCACCATTTCTGTTTGTTGACTGACAGCTAAAGGGGCGTGGTTAAGTATGTTAGCCACGCCCAATACCTCAGACAGACCTAATCTGGGAATTGAACTAAAAAACAAACAGGAAGTGTATTTGCAGATTTACATTAAAGATAACAAGAGCAAACTATTATTATTGTCTTAATAACATGCGCAGATGAATGGTTCAGCACAAAACTAGCGATGTGAGCTAACAAAACCACTATGGCTAGTTTTGATTTCATGCGTACTTTAAATGTTCAGTGGTGTGGATGTGTGATGTGTGCATTACTGTGAAAGGTACTGACCGGTCGCTCCAGTAGATGTAGTTCTCGAACACAGACACAGAGAACATGTCCATGTTGTTGCTGGACAGCACCACCTCTCTGTTCTCGCCCGTCTCCAGATTAATGCGCTCGATCTTATCTGTGCGAGCATCACACCAGTACAGCAACCCATCCTGCAGGACACACACACACCATCATCATCATCATCATCAGTGCTGGGTAGGTTACCTTTAAAGGGCACCTATGATGAAAATCAACTTGTGTAAACTGTTTGAGCCACCGTGTCGCTCATCATACTAGTTAATTGACTGTATTTTATTGTATAGAAAACAGATTTTCACGCAATTTTCATTCTTTATTGACCCCAAAAAAAAGCTTCATGCTTCATAAATCCAACCCAGGCTCATTCTGAAAAGGTAGTCCAGCGGACGTTTCTGAAGACCACAAAATACGTCCCGGGAGGTACGTATTTGTGCAGTTTTTGTTTTCGCGAATCCGTGAGAGGCGGCTGTGTGCGCTTTTTCGTATCTCGAAAGTCTCTGCCGAGTGCCGATCGTGCCCGCGCTGTTCTCGCGTCAACCCACCAGAGGCCGCTGTCTGACTGACCGAATGATTGACTGCGCGACCGGCCAATCGGCTGACCCACCCTCCTCCTTCCCTGAACCCAACCAAATTTACCAATTGACCAGCCCGCCCACTCACTTCCCTAAACCCGAGCAACAAATTAGAAAAGCCGTCTAGAAAAAGAAAAGTCTGTTTTTTTTTTTACTTTTTCGGATATACCACGTTCTCACCCTGTTATGATGAACTTGTTCGCTTTATTTTTTGGATTCTGTTTTTGTCTTACCTGATTTCTGGAACCGCTCTTCCTCGGACTCGAACCCGGATGCCTTTGTCAACTCCTCCTCTCTGCATCTGAAGTCCGCCGACACACACGATGAGCTGACCGGACAAACTGATTGCAGCGGGAATGCCATCCACACGGAGGTAAGCGGTCAGCCGGCAAGCGCGAAAGGGAACGGCGTCACACCGCCCCGTAGTGTTCACTTAGGCCATGTCCACACTAATGCGTTTTCATTTGAAAACGCATATTTTTGTCTCCGTTTTGCCCTTCCATTCACACTGAGACGCGTTTTTAGGAAACAAAAACGTTTCTTTTTGAAAACGCTCTCCAAAGTGGATAAATTTGAAAACGCCTTTTTCGTGTCGTAGTGTAGACTGTGAAAACGGAGTCTTTCGAAAACGATGACGCGTTTTTTGTCATGTGACACTCAGTCATGTTACTAATTCGTTTACTTTATTTTCGTTGTGATTATGATTTTAGTGATGTCGTCCTTACTGTGAGGGTAAGCAGCGTCATCAGCAGGATACTGTTCTTTAAAGCGGTCCAGTGTATCGGCGTATTTGTTTTTACACGTCTCCCAGTCTACATTTTCACTCTCTTTTGCAACTTTGTATTCATGTGTTACTCGAAGCAGCAACTCTACTTCATTGTCAGTCCATTTAAAAAACTCTGTGCTTTTCCTTGACATTTTGCCGCAACGTTTCAAAGAGCCGGAAAGAAAATAAACGTCAGGCGGAAATGACGCGTGACGAAGCGTCTTACGTTTCACGCATGCGCAGTACAGGTTGAAAGCATTGGTAGTCGTTTCAGTGTGGATGACAAAGTTTTGGAAAACGAATAGAAATGACAGTGTGGACGTGAAGCGTTTTTAGAGGAAAACTCCGTTTTCAAATTTATCCGGATTAGTGTAGACATGGCCTTAAAAAAGTGAAATGCAGCCATACGTACCTCCCGGGATGTATTTTGCGGTCTCCAGAAACTTCCACGGGACAACATTTTCAGAATGACCTTGGGTTGCATAAATCCTTGTTTACAGATGAACCCATGAGCGTCAGCAGGATTTATGTGTGATCTCTGCTGCTTATTTTGACTGTGCAAGCACTTATTATCGCTCAATTTGCATAAAAACCAACACAAATCTGTCATGAGAGCCTAAAAGCATTGAATGTGATCACCATGCAGTCTTATAATTCCAGATATGAAATGATCGGCTTTATGATAGCGTCGAGTAATCCCACACAAGCAAGAGTGCTGAGTAACATTGACTTTATACAAAAGTTCACCACACCAGAAGTTCATATTAAACAAGTTACCTTTTAGAGGAAGTGTGTGTAAGTGTGTGAGGTTTACCTGGTAGTCAATAGAGATGCCGTTGGGCCAGCTGATGCTGACATTGACCAGCACTGCTCTGCCGGATCCATCCAGACGAGAGCGCTCAATACGGGGATACTGACCCCACTCTGTCCAGAACAGATACCTGCACACACACACATTACTCACTCACACCCCCTACAACGACACACACACACACACACACACACACACACAAACACCAACACACTCACCCTCTCTCAGGATGGACAGTGATGGCTCGTGGTTTGTCCAGGCCTTGAGAAATGACCACATATCTGAAGGAGCCATTGAGTCGAGCCACCTCGATCACATCGAAGCCCTGATCCGTCCAGTAGATGTTCCCTGCACACACCAGAATTTGCTGATCAGAAGTGCGTGCGTGCGTGTGTGTATATGTGTGTGTCTGTGTGCGTGAGACTCACCAGCGATCCAATCCACAGCGATGCCCTCCACGCGGCCAATGCCATTAGTAATGATGTCTTCTCTCCACGTCTGATCTCTCTTTGCTCTGCTGATGGTGCTCAAACCCATGTCCACCCAGTAGATGGTGTCATTATCTGCATCACAACACAAACCCAAGTCAATTCAAGATTATTTGTATAGCGCTTTTCACAACAATGATTGTTTTAGTTGAGACTCACCTGCATGGAAATCAATGCCGACGGCGAGTGAAGTTCCTGACACGGGTACAAGAGCATCAGACTTATCGGCAGGATCCAGGGGGATTCCTCGAATACCCTCATGAACAGAGTACAGCAGGAACGAGCCCACACCTGAAACACAACCAGCACAATCTCCTCAAATCAATCAACTCAATAAACAATGATCTTCAATCAACAACAAACACTTCAGATCAATGACAGCCTTATTAAATCAATAACAATCAGCTGAAATCAACATAGCAGTCACCTAAAATCAACAACAACGATCTGATATCAACAACGAACACCTCAAATCAATGACTGTGCGATTAAATCAATAACAATCAGCTGAAATCAACACAACCGTCACCTGAAATCAACACAACCATCACCTGAAATCAACTACAATCATCTGCAATCAAAAAAAAAACAACACAAATCATTGACAGGCATATTAAATTCACAACAATCACCTCAAATCAACAACAATCATCTGAAATCAACAAAACCATAACCTGAAATGAACAACAATCATCTGAAATCAACAGCAAACACCTACACCTCAGATCAATGACTGCGCTATTAAATCAATAACAATCAGCTGAAATCAATACAACCGTCACCTGAAATTAACTACAATCATCTGAAATCAAAAACAAACAACACAAATCATTGACAGGTATATTAAATCAACAACAATCACCTCAAATCAACAACAATCATCTGAAATCAACAAAACCATTACCTGAAATGAACAACAATCATCTGAAATCAACAGCAAACACCTCAGATCAATGACTGCGCTATTAAATCAATAACAATCAGCTGAAATCAACACAACCATCACCTGAAATCAACACAACCATCACCTGAAATCAACTACAATCATTTGCAATCAAAAACAAACACCACAAATCATTGACAGGCATATTAAATCAACAACAATCACCTCAAATCAACAACAATCATCCTAAATCAACAAAACCATCACCTGAAATGAACAATAATCATCTGAAATAAACAGCAAACACCTCAGATCAATGACTGTGCTATTAAATCAATAACAATCAGCTGAAATCAACACAACCGTCACCTGAAATCAACTACAATCATCTGCAATCAAAAACAAACACAACAAATCATTGACAGGCATATTAAATCAACAACAATCACCTCAAATCAACAACAATCATCTGAAATCAACAAAACCATCACCTGAAATGAACAACAATCATCTGAAATCAACAGAACACAGCTCAGATCAATGACCGGCATAATAAATCAATAACAATCAGCTGAAATCAACACAACTGTAACCTGAAATCAACACAGCCGTCACCTGAAATCAAAAACAATCATCTGAAATCTACAGCAAACACCTAAGATCAACAACATGCATTTTACTTCGATAACAATAAGCTGAAATCAACACAACCGTCCCCTGAAATCAACATCACCTGAAATCAACTACAATAAGCTAAAATCAACACAATCGTCACCTGAAATCAACTACATTAATCTGAAATCAAAAGCAAACACCACAAATCAATGACAGGCATATTAAATCAACAAAAATCACTTCAAATCAACAACAACCATCTGAAATAAACAGCAAACACCTCTGATCAATGAACAGCATATTAAATCAATAAAAATCACCTGAAATCAACACAACAGCCACCTGAAATCAAAACAACCATTGCCTGAAACCAATTACATTCATCTGAAATCAAAAGCAAACACCACAAATCAATGACAGGCATATTAAATCAACAACAATCACCTCAAATCAACAACAATCATCTGAAATCAGACAGATTAGTGTCCCTGTTATTCTGAACCCGTTATGTTATTTTCTGTCTGTGTGTTTGTGTGTGTGTGTGTGTGCTAGCGTACCCTCACAGGACTGCTGTCCGCTCCGCAGGCTGTATCCTGCTGTACACATGCAGGAGCGAGAGGATTGAGACGTGGGTAGACACAGCTGAGAGCAGTCGCCATTATTCTTACTGCACAAGTTTGAACCTGAGCGCATAAAACACACACAGGAGAGAGAGTAAGGCATATACTGGGAGAGAACTCCAAACTTATATCAACAGCAGCAAAAATATGTATTAATCTGTCATAAACACAGAGAGTCAGCCAGAGGACAAAACTAATCAGAAATATTATGACAAACTATCTGAATGAACATATTGTATTGTATTTTATATTTATTATTATTATTATTGTTGTTATTATTATTATTATGATGATGATGATGATGATGATGATTATTATTAATAATAATAATAATATCATTATTATTACTATTATTATTATTGTTATTATTATTATTATTGTTGTTATTATTGTTATTGTTTTTATTATTATTATTACTATTAATATTATTATTAATATTATATTATTATTGTTACTGTTATTATTATTACTATTATTATTTGTTATTATAATTATTACTATTATTACTAATTAAAATATTATAGTTATTATTATTGTTATTATTACTATTACTATTTTTACTACTATTATTATTATTATTACTATTATTATTATTATTACAATAATCATTGTTTTTATTATTACTATTATTATTACTAGTATCATTAATATAGTTATTATTATTATTATTAATAATAATAATAATAATATTATTAATTATATTATTATAATTATTATTATTATTATTACTAATTACATTATTATTATTATTATGACTATAATTATTGTTTTTATTATTACTATTATTTTTACTAGTATCATTATTATTGTTATTATTATTATTATTACTACTATTATTACTAATTACAATATTATTATTATTATTATTATTATTATTATTACTATTATTACTATTTTACTATTATTTTGTATTATTATTATTATTATTATTATTATTTGTATCATTACTATTACTATTATTATTATTATTATTATTATTGTTGTTGTTGTTGTTGTTATTATTAATATTGATTGTTGTGTATTGATTGTTGCTGTTTTTTCCTGTTGGGCAGATGGACAATTTGTAATTTGTAGTCTTGATCCTCAGTTGGCAGCATTAACTCAAACCTTTATAGAAACATTTCTTAGTGTGTGTGTGCAGAAATACACATACTATGTTTTCTTTGTTACACTATACTTCATAAAGAAGGCAGAAAATAAGCCCTGTAACTGATGATCAACAGCTAAAAGCGCCAAGTTGACCTCTTCCCAACAGGGAAAACTATTATAATTTTGTCAATGGGGCAAAAACAGCCCCCAACAAAACCAAAGGGCAGTCAATAAGCCCAGAGTGTATTATTGAATTTCTGGAAAATTTTCAAACATTTTCCCAAAATATGCATCAAAATTAGATTTGTTTTATGTGTTTGTGCTTGTTGAACCTGTCTGCACGGTCTCGTTGTAGATCTTCATGTGAATCATGCCAGATGTGCTGTTCCTCAACACCTTCCAGTTTCCTCCGTCACTCTTATCACAGGTGCCGATCTGATCCGTGCCCTGATCCGCCCACCACAGCTTATCACCTACAGCACAGCATCATTAGTGTTATGGAGAGAGACAGCAGATGATCCTGAGTGTGTGTGCGGCGCTTTGTTTACCCATGATGGCCAGCGCTGAGGCTTTGTTCAGTTTGCCTTTCACAGAGTCTAAAACCTCCAGCCCGGAGCCGTCCAGCTTACAGCGGTTGATGGTGCTGTTTCCAGAGCTGACCCAGTACAGATGCTCAGCGTCGAAGTCGATGGACAAACCTGAGCACAGATAACACACACTCAATACTTCCTGCATTGCAGTTTACTGAGCCATTTAAACATTCATTCATTCATTCATTCATTCATTCATTCACTCATTCATTCATTCACTCATTCATTCCTTCATTCATTCATTCATTCATACATTCACTCATTCATTCATTCACTCACTTACTCATTCCTTCATTCATACATTCACTCATTCATTCATTCATTCATTCATTCACTCATTCATTCACTCAATCATTCATTCATTCACTCATTCATTCATTCATTCATTCATTCATTCATTCAATCATTCATTTTATTCATTCATTCATTCAGTCATTCACTCATTCATTCATTCATTCATTTATTCATTCATTCATTCATTCATTCATTCATTCGACTTCAGCCCCTTTATTTATCAGGGGTTGCCACAGCGGAATGAACCGCCAACTAGTCCAGCATATGTTTTACTTAGTGAATGCTTCTCCAGCCGCCACCCAGAACTGGGAAACACTCATGCACACTCACATTCACACACAAACACTCATCAGTACACCCATTACGGATGCCGGAGCA